CCCAGCCACTCTCCCTCCCCAGCGGCCAGTGCTCCTGTGCCAGTGTCCACCTCCACGTGTGCAGGGAGCACATGGCGAGTGCCAGCCCTGCCTGGCGTGGTGGGGCTGCCCTGGGCAGTGACATGGCCTGGCTGTGACGTTGTGCAACTGCTGCATCACCTCCTCCTCCTCTTGCCGGGCAGCCAGAGCCTCTCTGGCAGCTGCTTGCCTGAGCTCAGAGCAGCTGGGAGTATCCCAGGCAGCTGGGAGTATCCCAGGCAGCAGGGAGTATCCCGCGTGCAGTTTTCCCTGGCAGCACCTCTGTCACAGGATTCGGCTGTGCTAAAAACTTAAGCGCTGGGTTTTTTTATATATATTGGTTTTTTAATGCAGTTTGAAATTAGCTGTGATCTGTTTCAACAAAACTAACGTGCATCAGTGTGGGGATGGGCACTGATCGTATGCCAAGCTCCATTTGTTTCACTCACAGGCTCGGTGCTTCCCTTGAGAAGAGAACAGGGAAATTGTGCAAAGGAGATTTAAAACTAGAACCTTTTACTCCCAGGATAGTGAAGCAGTTTTTCACTAAAGGGAAAAATCCACCAAAAAACCCAAACCCGAATGAGCCTCGCAGGGGAGGAGCACAGTGCACCAGCCGAAGCTCAGTGCAGTGGCTGCTCCGTGCCCGTGGGCATTGTGGCAGTGCACTGATTGCTGCAGCCTCTCTTCCTACAAAATCCGTTTTCCCCGGTTCCAGCTGTAACTTCTTAGAAACAGGCGGTTTGTTTCCTTGGCTGGATTTAAATATTTGTATCTGCATCAAATCAGATAAGTCAGGAAGTTAAATTCCGAACTTCCCATGGAGCTGTCATTTTAATTTATCCTTGGACCTGGGCTTGTGCTCTGCAACAGTAAATTAGAATCTGCAATTAAACACACTGTTGCACAAAGGAAATGGGGCTGAACGCAGCTGGAAGTTAATAATCCCTTAGCTGGTGATTCAGCTTAAAGTCGTGTGGGCTGTTGTTCTGTGGCTCTGGCTGAGGGGGTTTCCCAGCGGGTCTGACAGCAGGGTGGGCTCCAGACGCCAGCACAAAGCCTCTGACCAAGCCCATTTGTTGCACGGACCACCTCAGCCCTTGTTCTTCACTCTCCTCCCCACAAAACTGGAGAGAAAATGCTGGAGACCTCTGAGGAGTCTGTAAGATGCATGGGGTGATTTGGCTAAAAGCACAGTGGGAATAAAATGCTGTTTGCTTTGAGAGAGCAGAGCCCTGTCCCCTTGGCTGTCCTGGAGCAGTGTCCCCTGGCAGAGCCCAGGCAGGACAGGCCTGTCCTCCTCAGAGAGCCCCACTGCAGAGGGACCAGCCCAGCCCAGCTGGCATCAGACACAGCTCACAGCCCGTGCAGCTGGGCCCTGATGTGATTCTCCTTGAAGGATTCCTTGCCCCCTAGGAAATGTTGTAATCATCATCTTGGGAAGCTAGTTGAAAAACCCTTAAGCAAGACTGCTCCTCTGTTCTCAAAATGTGCCTGTCACTGTGGTACCTGAGCACCCTCCAGTTCTGGGGGTTATTTTGTCTTGCACATTTAGTGTAACATGACATCCAGGTGATTTGCTCACCAGGTGACACCAGGTGACCCTGACATGAGGCAGCCCAGCCCAGCAGTCTCGGGTCATGCTGCAGGTCCTGCTTGTTGGCCAGTTTCCCCAGTATAACTCAAACACTGACTAAATAACAATGTGCTTCCAAAATCTGAGACACAGCTGAGCTTCTCAGGGTGTGCAAAAGGCAAAGAGCAAAATCCTTGGAAGGTGGTGAAGCGGGGCACCGTGTGTTCCAAACCCCTGTGTGGGCTGCTCGGTGTGGCAGAGGTGTTGGGAGGCTGCTGTGGTGACAGACATTGAGTCGTGGTCCCACAGAGCTGTGTTGGCTCTGGTTGTGAAATGGACTTTGCTTACAAATTCCCATAAGTCATCTGCCAGCCTTGTTTGTGATGTTAGAGACAGAATGTACCTGTGGTGAACTGAGAATTTATAGGATGGCCAGTTTGTCATTATTGCCTCGGGAAGGGGTAGGAAGGGTGGAATTTCTTTCTTCCCAAGGAGCTGGGGTTTGCCTTCCTGCTGATGGGATGAGTACTGGAGCAAGGCCGTGGACTGGCACGGGCTGAAAACCTGCCTCTGGGACCAGTCTTCCCAGGAATCATCCAGATAAATTTTTGATGCAAATCAGTCTTTTGATTTTTCTGGTTGGTTGCACTTAGAGAGATGTATAAATGAACAGCAAAGCCATTTAAAAGTCAGAAGGCTGCTTGTGCAAACAGTCTTGCTGCCACTTGAACTGCAGTCCAGCTGACCAGGGAAATATTTTACCAGAGTGAAGTAGTCTACATCTTCCTGATGGAAACCTGCCCTTTCCAAAGGCAGACAACTGGGCTGCAGCAGCCTCGCAGCTCCTTGCAGGTGATGGTAGCAGCCCCTGACAGTTTCTGTGGCCTGATTCCTTCCTCAGGAGCTAAAAAAAATGTTCAGGCTAAGAAATAGTCCTGGCATTCTGGACTCAAGGAAACGGACATCTCTCTAGATTCCAAGTAAATTGCTGCATTGTTCATTTTGGGGGAAGTGTGCCTGATTTCCTCCTCTGATTACAGATGTGGCTT